AGTCTTACACTGCTAAATTAGGGATGGCTAGCGTAGATAGCCCTCGTGTAGCTTTGCGCGAAATTCAGAAACAAACAAATTCAGAAACAAAATCCTCACCTTTCTTCTACATTTGGATCTCACTAGGCAGCTAGAATTGTCTCACAGGGTATACTTACCAATAATTCCACTTTTGAACAGGATAACAAAAAGAGCTTAGACCATCTGCCGTGGCCTACTCAGTGCCCAAAGTGAGATTGGGTATTCCACAAGACCACTAGAGTTCCACTTGTGGTATATATATATATATATATATGTAATTTTACCAGTCCAATCCAAACTGTACCCATTCCATGGACTGTCATTAAAAAGGCCACCACCAGAATTGTGTTTCTACCTACTTCTCTGGCTAGCACTTGCTGGCTTTTGAAAATGTGGCTTTGTGGTTACTCATTGCACTGTCTCCAGTAAAAGACCATTCTGAACTGAAGGGGATCCAGGCACATTCTCCAGGTCTCCCCTACATGAATTCTCTCCTCCCTCACCTTTGAGTGGAACATGGGATATCCTTGCCACTTACCAGCTCCCAGCTGCTGTGGTGGTGTACCAGGTAGAATCCTCACTGATTGAGACCTTACAGCTGGTGCTACAACAGAAGTCCTTCTATGCTGACTTGATATATCATAATATCCAAGTGGATTTCATACATACAGCTTATTTACTCTTTGCTTTTCCTTTATTTATTCCTGCAAGGACATGACCCCATGAAATATGCTTAAAGAATAATTGATATTTATTAATATTTATTAAAATGATCCAATTACCTACCTGCCAATTTTTGTGACATTTTTTCAGACTTCTTGCCTCTTCCTATCCTTCACCTGGGTGAAAAGTATACCCTAGATGAGGTGAAATTCAGTCTCCCATGGGTGTGCTCCTATGGAGCCTCTGCCATAAGGTGTTGCACCCTATGAACTTCCTTTTTATTGATCTTGAAAGGTGGCTAATCTAGGTAATTTCTGAACCACTCTCTTCGCCATCTCAGTGTGGGATTCTAGCTAATCTGTATAGAGAGGTGAGTCATCATATTGGAAGTTAACATTTTCCTTACCAGAAAATGTATATCTGATAGCTACTTAGCTCTATACATGTTCTCACTCTTCCTTCCCTCTGTGAATGTTAGGTGTGAGTTTCATAAGGCTGGTGGCATAAAAGTCTCTCAGACAGAATACTGTGCCTTCTAGAGGAAAATAGCTAATCAGAATATGGAGGTAAATTTTTATTGGAAATACATTTTAAGATAAGGAAAATTCCTAACTTTAGCAGTTATATTTCAGGAGAAACTGCAGATACTCTAATGGCTTTGAGGTACTGCAAGATGCGAGGAGCTCTGATTGTTGGTGTGACTAATACTGTTGGCAGCAGTATTTGTCGAGAAAGTCATTGTGGTGTGCATATCAATGCTGGTCCTGAGATTGGTGTGGCTAGTACTAAGGTAAACTTATAATTTAATAGTTTTTATAACTGTATGGCAACTAAACAAAAAGTTAGTAGACCTTAAAAATTAAGGAGTTTTATTTTAGCCATGATTCTTGCATTTCTTTAAACTTTGTGTTTTCATAAGATAACACATTATCTTACAAGTTTTTTCAGGTTGTCTTCTAATATGTTGTTTTTTCTTTAATTCTTATTCATTCATAAATACCAGATCAGTATTTTATATGACCATTTAGTTTGTGTTAATAAGTTTGATGTCAATGGATAAGCTAGAATATGAAAAATTAAACTACTCTATGTGATGAATTTAATGATCAGAAAATATATATAATTTTGATTTGAAACAAAAGTTTGTACAACAGTAATGAATGACAATAGTTTTTAATTTACTAACATAACTACTGCAATACTAGCTGGTTTATTTCAATATCTAAAATTCTGGTTCTTAATTATTTGGAGACTCACTAATGAAAGCATGATTAGAACCAATTAATATACAAAGATGTATTATTACACAAGCTGTTTTAAAAGTCTAATAATTCATGCAAACCAAATCTTCCTTTTTCCATTTATTTATTGAGATCAAATGCACTTGACTTGCTGAGCTCATAAATTTGACACTTGTGAAGATGTTAACATCTTTTTTTTTTCTTGTTAAAATTTAGAACAAAAAATTCATTCAATTACAAAGTTCATTGAAATAACCATAGGGGGATCATATGTGATTTTTAGATAAGTTGTAAGATAATTAATACTGTGAGTAATAATTAGGCAAATAAACTGAAAATGTGAGTAACATTTAGGAAAATACATCTGAGATAATTCATATTATTGATAATGTTTGTGTATCAGTCACTAGGTGAACTAAGGCTTAAAAAAAAACTAATAAATGATCAAGAAAAGACATGAAAATAAATGTAGCTAAGAATAATATTTAGGTAGGCATACCACAATAATATTATAATGTTTAGCTAAAAACATTAAGATATTTGATAATATTTAGTTGAAGAGATTAAGCTAATTTATGCTATGATTGAGTGATAATTGCTATGAGTATGCTTAGTTATAATGATGATATGAGCATGTTTGTGTAAAAGTAGTACTGAGGTAATTTATAGCATGTGTAAAATTTATTAAAGAATAGCTTATTAAATTGATGTGTTGTGAGATATGTTTAGTTAATGACTGATAATTGATACAAGGAATAAAGATGAATAAACATGAAGATAATTAATGATTTAGTAGTCTACTAGAAAATTATACAGTCCTTAGATTGTAATACTTTTATTGAGATTGGTTTTATGAAGCTTTTATAAAATAGTTGTAAATTTTATTGCATTTCATATGAAGTTACACATGAATGTACATTATTAGTTTTATCAAATAGTTTAATAGTTAACCTGTTATCAGTTATTGTATAACCTCTGTAAAATATATGAATTAGTCGATGTTACAGCTTATTTAGATTTTTTTATGTCTCCATCATTAGGCTTATACCAGTCAGTTTATTTCCCTGGTAATGTTTGCTCTTGTGATGTGTGAAGACAAAATCTCTATGCAACCCCGAAGAAGTGAAATTATCCAAGGTTTAAAGGCTCTTCCTGGTTAGTATGATCACATTTTTACCAAAAACATTCCTTAATCTTTGTTTATTTATTAAGTAATTCGTTATATTAAGGTTGTAGTGGTTGGATATCAATTGTTGTTTTATTAGTAGTCTATACAATCATCTAATGACTATTTAATTATTAATTAGTTATTGATGTTTTCTTTTACTAAGTATTAAATACAAATTAGTTTATATCCTACATTTTGGCTGCCATCTTCAAGGAAGTCCTGAGAAGGATTGTGTTTGTGGTAGTAGTTGCTGGGATTTTATCCGCAGTTTTATTTTTTAGTCTATTGTGTTATTCACTTTTCTGAACCTTCTGTTATTATTAGTTAGTAATTAGTACTTAGTAATATTAAAAATGAATTAATTAATGTCTAGATCCTTTAGTGATTGTATAACAAAATAACCATCAGAACAACAATATTTATGAGATTAGATTATGAAGGAGGAATGGAAATATCATTGACCAAAAGTCATTATCAGAATTAGGATTCAAGTAGTATATCATTGAAATACATTGAAAACAATTTGTATTTTTTTACACTAACATTTACATTTTGTTCAGAGAGGGTGTTGATTTCTACAGTGAAGACTTTTGCAATTGCAAATAAGGCAGTAAATCACTTTAATATGTTTGATCATTTGTTGAGAATTTCATGTAGATTATTGTTTTATTTCAATGTTTTGAATTCATTATATTACTTGTGAAAAAGAAATGGGATCTACTACTGAAAAAAGATAAAAAAAAACAGAATTTTGTATTTATTTACCGAAAGTCAAAATCCATCATTTTGCGTTTTCATATTAGTTTTTAAGAGTAAAAATTCTCCTTAAAGTACTTAATAACATATCAAAATATATAAATAATAAAAGTTTATAAGAGGTTGAAATATGGAGACCAAAGGTCAAGAAACCTGATTATAGTGTTTATTTTCTTGAAGATAGCATTGTCAATTAGAGATGTTATAAAAATAACCTTTTTTATGTTACCTTTGGAAAATCGTTTTTTTCTTACTTGTTTTATTGTGTTTTCTCATGTTGGAAGTGCGATGCTGATTTTTGGGTGTCATAGTCTTTGAAAATTTGTTTGATTTAAAAAGGTGAATATTTGTTGCACAGAAGAAGTAGTTTTAGTTCGGAGCGTTCGAATCCTCGTCACACCAAACATGCTCACCTTTTCAGCCCTGGAGCATTATAATGTGTGGTCAATCCCACTGTTCATTGGTAAAAGAGTAGCCCATGAGTTGGCGGTGGGTGGTGATGACAAGCTGCCTTTCCCCTAGTCTTACATTGCTAAATTAGGGATGGCCAGCACAGATAGCCCTCGTGTAGCTTTGCGCAAAATTCATAACAAAACAATTCATCAACATATTTGAAATGACAGAATATTATCATTGTTTATGCTTCCAGATGTTTTTTATGAGACACTAGAGGAAAAATATCACACACCTCTATCAACAAATATTCAATAACTGCCAAATTTAACATAGTTCATGTTTTATCAAGAGGTTTATTACTTGGAGCAGCTATAGATGTTTATGATTTGTCTCTTCAGAGACTTGTTATTATCCATGATTTTTTTTTCTGTTACATAGCATCCTTTCCTACTACATCTGTTCTTCACTTCATTATTTGTGACCCCTTTCTTAAAAAAGCAAATCTCAGTAATAGTCTTCGAAAAAAAATACTGAAGTTGTGTATTGCATTATTGTTGTGCTTAAAATATCTAGGGAATCAAAATGAATTCTAGACAAAATCAGTTCAAATTACTGCTATGTCTAATGTAATCATACAATTTGCTTAGAAATTTACAACTCCAAAATGCTAAACTTCAAAATAAACTCAGATAAGCATTAAACAAATTAAGTAGTTCATACTATCTAGAAACAGTGAGGTGCAAAATACTGAATGAGGTATTAAAAATGGAGGAGAATTTAAGAACTCATAATTTTGAACTACAAGCTTCAAGTGGCTGCAGCCTAATTATAATAAACTAACACACTATAACTACCTAATTAGAAGGAAATCTTGCTGTTCTTCCAATTAAAAATATGAATAAAATACTTATTTACATAAAGCTTAAGTACAACAAGGGATTTGTTGGTCCATTTAGACAGTTCTATCTACCAACCTAAGTTAAAAATTAAAAAAAAGGAAATTGAATCCAGAACTTATCATTGAAACATTTATCAATTCCCACAACTGGCAACACCCAAGAACTAACTTACTATTGTCAGCAAATTTAAGTAAAATATTGCTTATGAGAGGTCAGACTTCCTAAGGGAGATCACTATACACATTTTTTCTCAGAGCTAAACCATTACAGTGACAGATAGAACATGATAAAATATTATGTTAACAACTTCTTGTCAAACAAGGATATCAAAATAGAAAAACGGAATGTAAGTATTCCAATTTTAGCTGCATATGAGATTATGAGCTCATCCATCTTCTTTTATGGGGATTCATCTTTTTATCTTTTTTGAATTTTTTTAAACTAAGTTGTAATTCATCATACAACTTCTTGGGAATGATTTTTTCCAAAAACGTTTTGTAGCTAAAAGAAATGTCTACACTTTTGCTGTGTCATACATTTGTTTCCTTTTTTTCTATCAACCAATTTTTTTGTCTTACTTTTCTTCTGTAAGTTCTTATACAAAAAAGAGTAATGAATTTTTAAAGCAAAAATAACCTTTGTTGGGAGTAAACAAGTAATAAATTTAACACTAGAAATTTGAAGTACAGTTTTACTGTTCATACTAAGTTTGTGGAACTAAAAAATTAATATGCTATACTATTATGTTTTTTATTCCACTTACCCTATTTTGCATTTACTAATGTGCAAAAACAAAGAATATAAGTAACACAGAAAAATAAATAATTTAGATGGTAATGTTTTGTCAGATTGTAAAGAATGATTTGTTCTTCATTTTTTTGGTAATAAGTTAACAAGTAATAAATACAAGAGGTTTCAGTTTTTTTTTGTTTTTTTTTTACTGAACAATGCTTAAACCTGTCAGAAATATCAAGTAATCCTTATTTGGAATTGAAAATAATATTTTTGTAACTGATCTTTCATTTGAAATCATGTATATATATAAGCTACGAAAATCCTACTGTGTATTATCAAGTCTAATGTGTTTTGAATTCAATCGAACTGAAGTATTTTCATTTTAATGCAGAATATCTTCTTTTTCTGTTTCAGAACAAATTAAAGAGGTGTTGAAGCTTGATGAGAAAGTGTATGAACTTGCTGGCGATATGTATCAGCAAAAGTCACTCTTGGTTATGGGAAGAGGATACAACACAGCCACTTGCATGGAAGGAGCTTTAGTAAGTAACCAGTAACTATTATTATTATTATTATATGTTATTTCATACATGTTTGGTTCAAATAATTAAAATTTAAAACTGACCTCTATATGCTCAATTTTTACTTGCCACTAGCCTTCATACACTCACCCACTTCCACCTGTTTTCTACATGGTACAGCTGCATTGTAGCATGCAACAATCCTCTACCAACAGGAGTGTGACACAGTAGAACTTAATCTTTGCTTTTCAGTTTGGCAGGCTTAAGTGCAGATATGTTTAATTGTGCTCATTTTTACTTCATTTCTTAAATATTTTATCTAATTTTATTTCATCAAATGACTTAGTTGTTTTTTCTTTCTGATTTATTATGTGGTAGTTTGTGGATTGAATTTGTTTTGTCCACTCAGGTTTATCTTCTTTGTATTCACAAGCGTGTGTTGCACCTACTGCTTCTTTTGTAACACTTATCACTGTGCAACAACCATCATTTCTGTGGCTTTGAAATCCAGTTTTCCAGTTGGTTGTTTTGTCCTTCTTTTCCTTTGAATTCTATCATGCAACCTGTTAGTTCTACTGTACCGGAGTCCCAGATATTCCACTCCCTGGGTATCTGGTTTGATTGTTATATATGATATGTGTGTTATGTATGATATATTTTGTTTTTTTAATTTACCGTTCCTAGGGTTTCAGGGTCCATGCTGTTTAGTTTTTCTCACAGTTTCTATCTGGGATCTGCATTTTTTCCCGGACTCTCAATTCTTCAAGTCTTTCAGTCTGACATGGGAATCAAACCCTGATAATATAAACTACTTTTCACAGGCCCATTTCTTATTTTCATCTGCCCATTTCCCCATCCTTTGTTATATTTTCCTCTGCACCTTTCCTCACAATATCTATCCATTGGGCTTCTGCTTGGTTTTCAGGGGAGACTCATTCCTTCCCTTTTCTTCCTCTACCTTTATGTATGTATACTGGACTCTTCCTATTGTGGGTTCTTCTTGTTTGTCCTTGTCCTTTGTTTGGTGCCATATTCTGCACCTGTCAGTTTTTTGGGGGTTCCCTACCTTGTTGGTATCAAAGTTGGTCTCTTCTTGTTGATTTTACTCCTTATTTTTCTCCATTCTCAATCTTATTATGCCATTCTGTATCACACCTCCTTCCTCCCTTTTCTTTGTGTCTCCTTTCCAGACTTGGGTGTGAGCCGCATCTGAGACATGCATTTCCTGTAAATGCTTGGGTACTTCATGTGTTGTTAGGACTCTCCTTCCCCATCCTCCACACCTCACAGACTTTTTCCTTACTTCCTTCTCAGAATCTCAGTTTTTCTCACTAGCGTTTATTGAACATGGTACATCGTCTTCTTAACTGGGACACTGTCTTACTAGTCATTTACCCTTCTCTGGGTTTCTATTCCGGATTGTTTTCATTCGTGTTTTTTTCAACAGGTGTGTCTTCCAGTAAGTCATTCTACATCCTTAGCCATTTTATTGATCTTCCTTGTCCCTCACTCTTCAATGTGCTTTTTCTTCTGGGTGCTTGGATGACCAGGGTGGATGTCGTGGATTCTTTCTTTCAAATTCCTATTGTCCTCAGGGGGGGACAAGTCTTTTAATTATCCACTTTACTGTTAGGTCTGCCTTTGACTCCAATACTTTTCAGTCTGGTAGTCCAGGCCTTTGCTTGTCTTCCAAATTCACATGGTCTGTGGTTTCTTTATAACATGAACAACTGGCTGCTTTTGACTCAGGCATCTTGCACTCACACATTTTTCTTTTTTGGGGAAGGCTACTCATGTTGGTTGGCTTTTCTCGTTAGAGAGATGTCCTTCCTTATCCTGACCCAATATTTCATCCTTCTCAGAGTTTTCTGCAGCTCCTACCTCCGTCAGACCTAGCCTTCTCCTCTTTGTTTGTGGTCGATTGTTTTCAATGGTGATTCCATTCTATATTTTTTTTGAGGCCTTGGTTTCTATAGATGCTCTTCTTGCATTGGGTTATGCTCACTTGCATGACATTTAGTAGCTATTATAAGATGTAGGTTGTCTATGTCATTATCTATTGGATTCTGTTTTCATTTTCCTTCCTTCCCTAGATGTTTCTTTGGACTGGTAGCTCTACATGCAAATCACCTCGATTCTTTCCACCTCACCGTACTGTGTTGTATCCTTTATCTGATACATCTCTCATGAGTTGGGAGCATGTATGGACTCATACGAGGTTGCTGGTCTTTGTCCACATCCCTCTTTTGGAACTTCTTATTGTTTGTTGGGCATTGGATCATTTCCGCTCTTTAGTACTGGGCTGGACTTGATCGATTCTACCCAATTGACCTTTGTCTCTTCCATCTACTGACTAGGGGGCACCCTTTCTCATTCACTTTATTTTCAATTGTTGGATCTCTTCTTTTGGGATCACTCATTTGTACATTCGCCTGTTGGCTTTTCTCATCCTGGGTGCTCTCATTCTTGTTGCAGATATGTTTTCTCATCCCAACATGATTCTCTCCACAGAGTGGTGTTTTACTGGTTATGCTCCCAGTAGAATGCTCCTCTAGGGGTCAGAGATTCCCTCTGTTCTGATCCCTGGTTCCTCATCCATTCTAGCAATGAATGCCTTCAGTCTGGAGTGGACAGATGTTTGATGATTTTGCCTACCCTCCTATCCCTCTCCGGAGTTTGCTTGTCATCCAAGCCACATCATGTTACATATTTGTGGCAGGAATTTAGGTTTAAAAAAATATTTGAATCCTTAAAGCAGAGAGATGCTGACTGAGTAAGCACGATTCTGTTTGAATAAATTTCTGAGAGATTGATTTAAAGAAAAGAAAACTTTCTAAAGTTACAGAGATATTATGGTTAAATGATTAAAAAGAGTCTGATGAACTTGCAAGATTAACAGCGCTTTTCAGGAGCACTGGGGTAAAATAATCCTATGCCTTTAGAAATTTTGAGGCAGGGGAAACCATGCCTGAGATGTGAAAATGAAAAGGAAGTGATTGGTTAATACATGTATGCTAAACGATATTAGTATAATTAAACAGAGAGCCTTTGTTCATATCCCTGATTTGTGGAAGAATGCCAATCTAGTGCTTATTTTTTTGAGAATATTGTTGTATTGAGTGGTCCATGATGAGTGTGAGTTTATCATGATTCCTAAAAATTTGGCAGTTGTTTTAAAGGTGAAGGGTGTTGTATAATGTAAATTTGATTTGTCTAATTTTTATGTATTGTCTTCCTATTTTCCTGTGAAATGTGATTGCCTGTGTCTTGATTGGATTGAGAAGTACTCTCCATTTGTTACATCATTTAATTAATTTATTTAATACCTCCTGGACTCTTGACATGGTAGTGAGTGGATCTTATGCTCCAGACAGCAACCCTCATATCTTATCCCTCTTGTTTTTCCTCCATTCTTTCTTGCTCTCTGCTCCTTTAAGAATGGAATTTCTGTGTCATTCTCCATGCTCTTACCCATCCTTCTTTTGACCAATTCGTTATCTGTTTCTTATCCCACCTACTTTCTTTATTTGTATGGGTGGTTGTCATAGATTAGATGTGTTCACTGTTGATGTGTCATGTATCCGTTACCTTAGTTTTTTCCTTCCCAAAACCTCAGCAGCTCATGGTGGGAATTTTGCTTTCATACCAAAATCCCTCTCTTCCATTTCTCTTTTCTCTTACCATTTTGATCTGAATCATCTTTTCTGCCCTTATCATGCTCTCTGATGCTATTCTCACACATCTTCCTTTTTCAGTTCCAGTTCTTGCCTCCTTTTCTATTGGAATCCCTCTTTGGCCTATAACTTTTTCTCTGTGACCCTTTTCAGTTGAATTCACCAACTCATGCTGTTGGCTTATTCTTCCTTGTCTCACTGTATCTGTCATCTCTCTCTCTGTCCCTGACTGTTCCCTTTCTTTACTAATGTACTAGCATGAGTAAAGCAGGAAAGAGATTACTGCCCATCCCTCTGTTCCTGCTTTTCAAAATAGGGTTTTGTGATCATCATTATACTTTCTCTGATGCTGTATTCCTCCAGACTCCACATCTTCCAGTGGAGTACAGGTGTGCTTGCCATTTACCAGCTACTTGGCTTTTGATTGGTGGACCATGGAGGCTTCCTCCTGGGTGTTATCATTCCACTCAGTTGAAGGTAGGACAGTTGCATTCTGCTAGTGTAGATTGCAAGACTATCCTCCTGCCAGGGACCTGATGTACAATTTCAGATGATGGTTGGTTTGAGACTGAATTTTTCTGCCACTATGCAGTTCACCTCTCTGACTTGAAACCCTCCTTCCTACTGCCACCTTGATGTTGGTTCATGGGTGTGCTGGTGTTGGTTGGAGCTGGACTGGCCAACATAAGTCCTCACACATGTAGTTTGGCTAGAACCCTCCTCCTACCATGGACTGGACAATACATTCTCAATGATGTGTGGTTTTGGACTGGAGTTGACCCTCCATGTTACATTTCACCTTCCTACTGTTGCCCGGATGTCAGGTTTCCGAGTGGTTGGTATCAGTTGGTACTAGGTCTGCACACATGTCAGCTTGGGTTCTTGGAATAGAAGTCCTTTCCTTTCTGGTTTCTGGGCCTGAGGTTAAGATGGTAGGGACCCTCATCTAACTGTGAACTGGATGTTCCATTCCCAGTACTGCTGGTTTTGGACTGGAGTTGACCCACTGATTATAGTTCAACATGCCTTAGCCACTCTACACCATTTGTAAATCCGTAGGTTTGTCAGATGTGTCCTCTTTCTGCCCATTTGTTGACACTTTCTTTCTTCGTGGGTAAGGAGTATACCTGATTCAGATGTGGTGTAATCTCAAACATGTGTAACCTCTTCATCGAGGTGTCACACTACATGGGTTTTCTTAAAACGTTTTCTGAAGGGCATCTAGGCAAATTTTACACTGGTCACTCTATCAGGTTAATGTGGGATTATAGCTATTAAGTGAGAAGAGGTAAGTTATCTATTGGAAGTTATAATTTTCCTACACTGAAAATGTATTTCCAATAGATACTTATCTTCTCACAATTCCCACCCTTCCTCCCTACTTCCAGTGTTTCTTTCATATCTAATCTCAAAGTGAAGATTGGGTTCTACTGCTTAGAAGGAGTCAGCTGTGCTAGGAGGGTGTGTCTCACTCCTATTTGTAAAGGGTTGTTGCATGCTACAGCACAGCTGTATCATGTGTAAAACACATGGAAGTAGGTGGGAGAATCAAGGCTAGTGGTAAGCAAAAGTTGTGCATATAAAGGGCAATAATAATCAATAAAACCTATTATGTGAGTGAAGGTAAGTATCTATCAGAAATACATTTTCATGGTTGGAAAATTATAATTAGATTTTCCAAAATGTAACTCATATATTATCTCTTATTTTTACTTTTCACAGAAAATCAAAGAGCTGACTTACCTTCATTCAGAAGGAATTTTGTCAGGAGAATTAAAACATGGTCCCCTAGCTTTGGTTGATAAAGCTATGCCAGTCATTATGGTTGTTACTCGGGATCCTGTCTATCCAAAGTGTATGAATGCTCTTCAGCAGGTAGAGAATATATCTATCTTTTTTCATGAAAAAAACTTTGTTTTATAATGAGTATCATCAGCTTATTGTTAAGTACTGTAGTACTTAATAGTAGGGATTGTTATGAAAAAACTGGCAGCCACAAAAAAATCAATCATTTAAAACCACCTTTAAAATTTCTGAATATTAACAATGACTGTTTCACAATATTGGCTGAAGAAAACTAAAGCTGATTGTTCTTATAAAGCAGCGTAAAAGCTAAATAAAATGTTTTTAATTGTGTACCAGTTTAACATTGAATATTATTTGTGATTTTAAATTTATGATTTTAGCTATATATGTGTTTATGGAGTGAATTAAACTTTTAGCATTTAAACGAATTTTCATCTAAGTAAGTAGTAATTGACTTTTCCAGACATTCATACAGAAAAAATGACTAATCTTATCATTCTATTTCTTTCACAGAACTCCTAGATCTGGGGTCCTAATGATTAATTTCTTGTTAGCTTAATAAAAACTTCATTATGGAATTCTATATTTTACAGTTGCTAGACACATTTATGCTTAATTATGTCAAATTAAGTGTTCCTGTTATACGACATAACAAAGGTGAATGCATAATTTGTCCCTAGATGGTGGCACATACAAAAACATGTATGCATCAATAATAAAATCAGTATTTTCTCTATCTAGATTAACCAGAAACTTGAAACTCTTTATAATCAAACATCTAGCACATTTCTTGCAGGAAATGCCAGATTATTTTCTTTGTCAGAATTCTATGTTAGCTTGAATAAAATTTCATAAACTAAACACACGACTCATGTTTGTGTACTAAAATCATGATGGTATTGTGTCACTTAACAAATCTTTTTACTAAAACAAGAATATTTAGGTGATATGCTACAGTACTGTATTTTCAAAATCGTTCATCATCTAGCTAAACTTCATAATATCATTAAGTATGGTAGTACTTGATAGTAGGGATTGTTATGAAAAGAAATGGCCACCTCATTTACTATATGTGTTTATGGAATGAATCAAAATTTCAGTTTTTAAACTAATTTTAATTTAACTAACTAAGTAAGTGACTTTTCCAGACATGCATGCAGAAAAAATTACAAACCTTATCACTATACTTCTTTCACAGAACTCCTGCATCTGAGGTCACAGTGATTCCTTTTTTATATACCAAAAAAGGATACTAAACTTTCATCTACCCTTAGGCTTGGATTCTACTTCATTACTTTGTACTATTTGTTATAATGCACTGTCTTCTCTCACATATGTAAGCTCAATCAGGTAGATGCGCACCTCATGCTTAATATTGCTGGCACACAAAAATACATGCACACATGGAGCATGATGAGCTGGATAGCTAGTTGATAAAAAGGAAAGAAAAAAGTATAATAAAAAATTTTGATTTTATAAAGATAAGGAGTGATATTATATATGTAACTTAGATAGATATAGTTATTTAGAAAGTTAAAATGCCACAAAAAAGTACTAAAAGAAGAAAGTCAAAACTACAAAAACTGTGTTACTTAAAATTTAAAAAATTTTATCCAAACTTTTTCTCAGACTAACATACTTATATTGATTTGCCAAAGTAGGATTAAAACGTTTTGGTGTTTCATTTTATGAATTTTTAAACTGAATAAATTTGGTAACAATCTATTTATAAGTCTTAATGTGGAATTGTTAAAGCCTAGGGTCACTGTAATTGTTACTGTAATTAAGAATTGTGGATGGTTGTAATTGTCATTTTTTTTCAGTTTCTGCAAAATATTTGTAACAATATGCATGACCATTTTCCTATTTTTAATATTTTATGCATTTCAAAAGACTCCCAATTTTATATATGCAAGTAAAACAATAATTTTTAAACATATTGATTGCCAGTTAAAACAATCATGGAAAGTTCATTGCTTTACCTGTGATACTCTTGCATCAGCTGTCCAAAGTGTTAAACATAATAGTTGTATGTTATGCTAAAATTAATGAATAAAATTCAGTTATAAATTAAAATAACTATCTTTAAGGATAGATGATAAATAGAAGGACAACTGCAAATTACATTAATTAGATGAAACACAGCTTTAGCTAATAGAAAATGACAAAATTGTCTATATTTGGCAGAAATAACGAAAATTACTATTAGAGTAAAGCTTAAGAGTATTTTCTTACCCTGCAAAAAATCATGAAATTAATCTGTTTGGATTATACAGGTGACTGCAAGAGATGGTCAGCCAATCATTATATGTGAGAAGGGAGATAGAGAGACCCAGAAGCATGCTTTCCATACTCTTGAGGTGCCACACACTGTTGATTGTCTTCAGGGTATCTTAACTGTCATTCCATTGCAACTCATGTCTTATCACATTGCTGTACTCAGAGGATGCAATGTAAGTACTTGAGCAGTACTTGTTAATGCAATCATTACTTAATAAGTATATTTATTATTTTGTGTATTGATAAATTGGTTAATCATCCTGTAACATTTTTAGCCACAGCATAGTGGCTCATAGAATGGCTCTGAGTTTTTCAAGTTCAAGTACTTGACCAATTTGAGATCTAATTACAGTTTTGGACTCAGGAGGTCAAACCCTTTTGATTGATATATCTTACCATGCTTAATGTCTCATAGATTAATTTACTCTAATCCTGCCTAAAATAATTTAAATTTGAGAGTAATCTGATAGAGTATTAAAATCTAATTGAGAGTACACGTGCCCAATGCTTGGTATTGCTGGCACACAAAAATATAACTAATAAAAAATAAAAAATGGTCTCACAGATTAATTTACTCTAATCCTGCCAAAAAGAATTTCAAGTTACATGGCTATTGTGGATTCCCTCTTGTTTCTAAGACAATAACTCACTTCTTCACACAGTTTAGCTGTGTTTCTCATGAATCTGCCAGAAATATTTGTATGCCAAGAGCCTTGAGGCAACTCCCACCTAATTTCACATGATTTAACATGGATTGTGTTGTTGCATGATAACATTATCATGTGGCGAAAGCCCTCCACCAATAGGAGGGTGACACACTTCCATGTGCAATAAATCCCCCTATACACTCCCCTGGAAAACTTTGCCCCTCCCTGGAAACATTTCTGTGGATGCCCATGCTTTGGTGGTTGGGAACTTCTCTTGGCCAGTTCACATTCTATCGACAGAGTAGTCTCTACACCCCCAGGTCTTTTATTCTTGGTTGGACATATCTGCCAACCTTCTTAGCTCCAGGCCTCATCTCTTATAGCTCCCTATTCCTCATCCTGCAGCTCAGGTCTTTCTGTTTTTTTATTTGTCTTCTCCCTCTGGTCCTCAGCTTTCTATACTTCTCTCCTCCTTGGGGCTTATTGTTAGCACCTCTACAACCAGTTCAGCCTTTCCTCTCTACAGTATCTCCCCTCTCTCTCTTGCTTCACCCTCATGCATACCTTCTTCATTGAGGAATATTTTCCATCCATTCTCATGCATAGACTTTGCCCAATCTGTTGCCTATTGGGCTGAATTTTCCAATTGTGTGGCATTCTTCTTGTTACATTTTTGTCCCCCTTCTACTTCTTTTGTCTTTCTATGACTGTGGCAGGTTATTTGTCATTGGTCATTCCACCACTCCTTTCCTCAAGACCTTCATACTGTGACCCACCTTTCTGCCTTTTGTACCTGACTGTGTGTCAATAACTTGTCATTCTCTGCCTTAATTAGTTGTTGGAGGGCCTTTTCCATGGCATTTCTTCTTTTTTGGTACCAAAAGGGGTTTTCCCCTGTCCTCACCACTCTGTTTTATTCCTTTGTTCTCCTCCATCCTCCTTGCCCAACTCTCATACTTGACTGATACCTTCATGTGGTTTTGTACGACCTCAGGCATGCCCCATTTGTGATGTTGACATCTTACCTTTTGTTTGGTCTTTCTCTCCTGACTTGTTTCCTCCATTTTCTCACCTGCATTTACCATTGTTCAAATATCTATCCTATAGATGCTTCTCACACCCTTTTTCACTGCACTTGCCAATCTCTCCATTATCAGATTTTGAACACTTGGGAGTGTAACCATACAGTTGATACGTTTGTCTCAGGATGTGGATGCTCGCGGTTATTTCTCGTTTCCTTTCAGTTGATTTGTCACCTTTTTTCTTTTTCTTGCATCTCTTCTTCATTGGCCTCAGGATGAGCTCCTCCAAGCAGGCATGTGGATGCACTCCACATATTCATATTCTGACTGTTTTATCTTCTGATGGTTTTTGGCTTCCACTGGTCACCATTTGTCAATCACCCAATTGTCTTTGAGAGTAATATGTACTGCTTTTCTAGACTGGAGATGGGTTTCTATTAGCAGATATAAAGGGAAAAGGCATTTAGTGGAAATTTGTTACAGACCATCGGATGATACTGATGAAATTAGTAAGAAACTTTACAGTGAGATTAAGATTTCAGCTGTTAATATAATCATAATTATGGGTGATTTTAATTACAGGCATGTAGACTGTGAAATACCAGAGTCAAACCATAAAGGAGAAAGGTTTGTTGCGTCAGCGAGTCACATGACCACCATGACGCAACGTTTCTAGAACTATCATGTACTTTGGCGAATGTTCAAGTTCTTACTAGAAATAGGGTACGCTGGTATATATAAGAGGGGAAAACGTGATGCGGTAAGAGAGGTAATGTGTGTATAGACAGTGAGTAATTGAACTGCAGTCACAGGGTATTGTTGAAGTTAACGTTCGTTCGTGATACTGTTTGTTTTAGCGCAAATATTGAGATTAAGTGTATTGCAGAGT